CCTGGAAACTAGTCTCAGTAGAAGGGCCAGTGGCCCCGATAACCCCAGCAACTCCGCCGGCTTCAAGTGTTATCTGCTCTTCCGTTATGGATCGTGCATGTTCAGCTCGCAAGGGTACAGTTGAACGACTGCTGACTCCAATCAATGAAGGCTTCTCAGACGCTAGACGAACGAGAGCGGCCATGTGATCTCTGAGAATATTCTTTCTGTTGTCTTCTCCATCATATAGAGAATAAACGAGCCGAACTAGCCCCGGCTCGGCATAAAGTCCTCTAAAAATTTCCATACAGAGTACTCTTTTCCAAGGCGACGTTCCATCGGGTTCGAGAAGGTGAGTCAGCAACCCAAGAGCCATCTCGCATTCGGCTGTCAGAAGAGACATGTAACGCTTGAGAAGTATAAGAAGGATCCGAGCAACGCGGCTGGTAAGGGCAAAGCCGTGCCTCTCAGAGAGGTACCTGACTGTCATCGGCATGAGCCGTGTCCGCAAAACATGCGTGAGCTCCGCATGACCAACAAATAAGTGTCCGCTGTTTGTGAGAATGCTCTCGATGAGCTCCAATGTGAACGTTTGAGAAAGTGACCTGATACGCAGAAAATGCAATTGCTCGCCATCTACAAGCCGGCACAGATCATCCAAGACCTTTACGCGCTATGTCAATTAAGTCCGAATACGCGTAGGAGTGTGGTGCTTACTCGCAATGCATCGTACGCAGAGTACCCGATGTTCACGGAGTCAGCTTCAAGCTTGATTGTCACTCCTGGCTTGCCTTCATCGAGAGTTTCTGAAGATACGTCAGCAGACATAATAAGCCAGGCCGAACAAAGGAAAAACGAACTGTCTTCTTCAGCAACTCGTTCGAATGTCGAGACTACTAACTGCTGAAGAGTGGCTGCTGCTGTGCTAGATACGGCAAGAGTCTTGCTTGCTTGCAGCGTAGCACATATTTCTAATGTACTTGCAAGAAGCTCTCCTCCTAGGTCATTGGAATAATGCTGCAAAAGTGAGGGCAAGGACTGCAAGATTTTGAGTTGGATATCCAGGCCTGATCGAGTTAGTGATTTGAAAAATTATCAGCTATGATTGCTTACTCAGGCTAGTAGTCTCCTTCAATCCCCCAAGGACATCCTTCAGCCTCTCAGAAGGTAGACACCGCGAAGCCACAAGTCTCTGCAAGCAGACAACTCCGATTCCGGCAAGCTTTGCATGTCGACTATGGCAGGCTAAAATAAATGGATCGACAAATCTGGGTTTGCGCACAAGATCTCTTGAGTACTCAGTAATCTTTTCAAGCAGCTACATATGGGATTGCTTGACACCCACCAGCAGATATCTGAGCCTCAGAAGTTGAAGGCAACGCCTTCAAATCATTCAGTGACTCCTCAGCAGCCTAAGCCGTCAGTAAGTTTGAGTTGCATGAAACCTCCTCTAGTAGATGGGAAGCAAACATTTCGCAAGTCAGAATTCTTCCGTTTGGACTCCTGAATCAGATTCAAGAGTTCTGTTTGCAAGAACTGTGAGGACATTTCCGATTAATGTGTGCAGTCGCACCATGCCCAACGCTACCAGTCCGAGGAATATCTCCTTGGTTTTCTCCCTACTGGCGATCAGGTGTTCGCTGATTCCGATATTTGTTCATGGAACATTTAGTGGATTGTAAGGAGACGTAGAAATTCCAGACCGGAAACTGAGCTCAGCACTTTACTTCCCGTATAACAGCCATGTACTCTGTCAAGGAGTAGAAGAGAGAAGATAATTTGTTGCAGCCACTCAGCAAAGACAACGCAATCGAGTTGATCCACATACACCGTTCCTTTGATAGATACCTTAGCTCTATCTGGTACTAGGTGGCTTCTCCAGGGAATGCCAAGACATCAGTGGATATGCCGGCCCCACGTGATACAAGTGGCTTGTCGTTATCATCACGTGAGATGAGTTCCTTGAGACCAAGGCAGTCGTGACGAGTACCTCAGGCACAGAGGCTAACCAAAATTAGTAGTGCATTGCAGAGTGCCCCTCTTCCTCCCGCCTTGATAAGGTAGGATAATCTCGCTCTCTCCAGCAACTTTTTGTCCGAGTACAGAACTCGTATTGTCCCGCCTTCAACACCAGTCACTGCAATGGCCGCAAAGATTCCAAGAAACTTCAGGCTTCTTGAGGAGCTTGAAAAGGGAGAGAAGGGCTTGGGAGCAGGTGAGCATGCGACCAATCTGTCATGACGCATCACCCCGCTGATATCACGATGCTTTTCAATTTAGAGGCGTGCTCCTACGGTCTTGCGGATGGCGAGGATATGATGATGAGCAATTGGAACGGCACCATTCTTGGCCCACCCCATGTTCGTTCTCTGTCTCGTTCCGATTGTCAGACCTACAAGCCAGCTGACCTAAGGAAATTAGAGCGTCCATGAGAATCGGATATACAGTGTCCAGATCCATTGCGGACCTGACTATCCTGATAACCCCCCAACCATCCAATTCATTTCTCGCGTCAACATACCATGCGTCGACCAGAAGACTGGAAAAGTATGAATCTTGGTTCACTACTTTCCCAATCGAGAAGGATATCTCCTAATCGTCGCTTAGGTCGATCCCGCCAAACTCCCCTGTCTGGCCCAGTGGAAACGGGAATATACCATGGAGACGATCCTCCTTGAGATCAGAAGGCGAGTTTTAGACCTCTTATTTACCTTGCAAGAGTAGGCTAACCAATCGCTCAGATACATGGCCCTACCACAACACAAGAAGCTTCCCCAGCCCCCAGAAGGCACCAACTTCTGAGTCTATCGCCTTGTACATGGATCAGACAATGATCATTGGAGTAACAGGTCGGTTCTTACGTTAGGTCTCTCTTCTTACTACATTGAGTTCTAGAGCGTGTACAGTCTATGCATAGCAGCAGGTATTGGCGTGGTTTCGTTAGAAGCCCTTTTTCCAAGCAATCAAAATACGAAACGTGCCAGAGATTCTATCTGACCCTAACCTTGTAACAGCGCACAATGGAAGTGATGTACTTCATATTTAATATTTCGGTCAGCGGTTATTTCCGTCCAACGTGTATAGACCTAGGCGACGGAACCAGACATTCTTCCGAAGGTCCGGCATCAGGAAAAAGATGCGATGGAGACCGTAACGACTGCTCCCAGACAAGATGGCTTGATAACAGGTGAAAAGCACCTCACACTGATAGATGACTAGATCTTCCGAGTATATTTGACTGAACGATATGCGAATGTCAAGCATAGCTATATAGCTCAATGCTCATCACGTGATATTTATTTTGCCATAATCACATGTTCTGTAGATCAAAAGGGAACAAATTATTACGGAGTAGAGAGGTACTGAGTGCCAAATTGATCAAGCTATGCATCGGCTCATCGTCCCAAAATCTTTAGGGACGCATCGATATGCTTGTGAGTACCATGTTAGAAGATCGTTTATTATTACGAGGCATATTTAGCATAGGAGCTAACTAGTCGTCTGCAGGTCTGGCACTGTATCGAGCACTCCTCCGCCAGTGCAGCAGATTGCCAGATGCAGTACCTGAGCTCCAATCATCCAAGTCGCTAATCCAACAAAAGTTCCATAAATATAAGAGCCTTCAAAGTCCGTCACAGACTGCAAATGCCCTGAAAGCTGGATATGAGGTACCCACTCAGTCGCTCGGTGCCGTCTTCTGTGACATTACCACTAATACACTGTCCGGTCAATCTGCCAGGCTCTCGACTTACTACATTCAGCGTCTCAGGGCAATGAACATGACCGCCACCGTATTGCGACACTAGTCCTGGAAAGCCAATCGATTAAAAAACAGACCACTGAGTTCCAGAAAGCATTAGCTAGCACGGTTCATCCAAAGCCCTTATCCAAGAGAGAACTCAAGAAAGAAGAATCGAGGCGCTTTCAAGAAATGACTGCGCGAAGGCATCCAGACGCCACTCCCATCCTTTCCCGGCCCCGACCCGTCGTGAATGGAAGACGTCGGGTCCCTGTGCTCGTCAGCGCGCGGGGGATCCCTTTTCTGCGCATCAAGAAGCCCCAGCCCAAGAATCTGAGCGGAGTCATTCGTACGAAACTCGATAAGCGCTGGCGTCGGATAGAGCGCCGGGACAAGCTCGGTGTTGAAATACTATTCGCCAAGGACGAGGATGAGTGGGATCAATTGACACTTGGTCGGCCAGAGACCGAGACATGGGCTGGAGAAATCAAGAAATCTTTGGCCGAGGTGAACACGCAGCTAAAGGAGTCTGATTTAAAGAACAAGGAGCTTGCCGAGGCGATGTGGCAAGTCGTCCTTGCAGAGCGCAAATTGGCTGCGGAAGAAGCAACACAGGCGTCACCCCAAAGATGAATGGCCGGACCAGAGAAGCAGTCTTCCCTTCTACGCAGGCCACTCTTTATGTCATGGATTTTGCGCTCTGCGAAGCTTCATATCCTCATCCACTACACGAGAGATTGCCACTCATTCGGCTGCAGTGAGCTCAACTGACAGTTTTTCACCGGAGCAGCTCACTTGTGCGAGAATTCGAACAGCATCGAAACGTTTATGATGCTGAGTGGTAAATGTGGGCCGACCATTTCAACTCCATAATACTTGATGCTGATGCTTAGTGCGTCGCTCTAAGTGTTTTGAACATGAAATAGGGTGGTCATCCTTAGAGAAACTAGTGACAACCAGCTCTACTACCCTTGTTGCTGCTTGCGGTATGAGCACGCATCTAAATGGTATGGTTTGATCGACCAGTCTTTCCGGGGTCCAATCATACCTTTCGTCCTGGGGACAGCCAATTGGCCCAATTATGACATGGTACGAATCATACGGATACCGCTGGGTGCCTGTCCGTGGAATGCTCAACCATCTACAAAGTCACCGGGTAGTCACACGTGTGCTTCTTCAATGTGTCCAGCGCTACTCGCAGCAAGTGTATTCAATGTTAGGTCCAGACATGTACAGGTGAATGCTGGAGCAAAATCAACCCAGATATACCAGCACTACTTCTTTATGCAGTAATTTTCATCTTCTCAACAGCGGCCGGAATAGCATCCTCATCATCCTCATCATAGTCTGCTTTCCCTGCCAAACCTCTCTCCCATAATTGCTTGCCAGTAAGCTTCTTCTCTTCTTTGACCAGTGCCTTCTTTGCCCTCTTTTCGTCCGCCTCTTTTTCCTCGCGCTCCCTCTGCTCCTTTTCTTCCATTTCTTTTCTGAACCTCTCTCGCCACTCTAGAAATGTTTCAGGAGTCACCGCTGTGCCCTGGAATTTCCGATTCTCCTCCTCTTCGGCCTTCGCAGCTTCCATCTCTTTCAAGGCCTGGACAGCGTTCGCCCGTTCAGCCATGAGCAGTTCGGCACTTTCTTTCAAAGTGCTGACCAGAGTGAAGACCATAGCCATTCCCAAGTTTTCCTCGATAGTTGGCTGTAAAGCTTCAAGGAGCCGATCACGATCTTCCTGGATGTCTAGCAGAGGGTGCTTGGGCGCATTTGGAGGGGCCGTGATGTCCAGGTCCGGGGCAACGTCGGGATATTCTGGTGGGTATGATACCTGAAGAATCAGGACTGGCTGCTCGGTTTCTTCCTCATCTCGGGCGTCACTTTCGGGCGTCTCTAAGTTAATCGATATCCGGTATGCGGTGTCGGAAATATCTGAGGGTCAATTCACAATCAGCGGCCGGGTGCATTCAAGATCGCAATTGCGAATAAGGACAGCTGAAGCCCAACCTGTAATCTCTTCGGGGAAAATGGAGTCGAGCACCTCGCGCTCCTCGACCTGCTCTTCGCGGCCCATTCTGCTTCAAACGTGCTAGTGGTCGGTGGGGTACTGCGAGTAGGTTCCGCAGCAGATGCACAGTAAGGACAGTGGTGCAAACAATATTAGCACTCGGACGTTCGAATTGGTTTGAGAGTCTTGACCTCAGAAGACTTGAAGTATACCCATCTAACAGCTATTATCAAGCTTGTGAGTGCACAGGAATGCCCATAGACGATCTTGCGGTCCCGCATGCAAACTAGGCAAACAGATAAGAGACGACCAAAATTATTTCATCCAAAAAAGGGAATAATTTCAATGCTTCTCCGCCTATCTCAAATACAAACTCGACAGAGCCCACGCTGTTGGATACTTGTTATGATAATCTATATAATTTGAAACTGGCACCTTCTATTTGCGAACATTTCTACAGTACGTGCAAGACACACCAGCCCAATAAGATATCATGGGCAAGTCTAGACCTCACAAGAAGAAGGCTTCGAAGTCGCGTGAAAAGTCCGTTCTCCGAGCTGGCGGTTCAGTGTCCAAACAGAAAATGACCGAAGATCCTGCGACACTCCTTGAGCAAGCCGTCGTCTTACTTCAAACGGGGCAAGCAGATGCAGCGCTTGCAGCAGCTCAGCAGGCTTTCAATTCTGCACCCGCCAATTCCCCCACTCAACTATCAGCCCTGAACACTATTGGCGAGATCTATGTCGAGCTCGGTGATATCAATGCTGCGAGAGAATGCTTTCTACGTGCGGTAGAGCTCGACCCGAATGGCACAATACCCGAGTCCGAAGGGGGTGGTGCTGAGAAGTTTTTATGGCTGGCTCAATTGAGCGAAGCGGGAGGGAAGGATAGTGTTCAGTGGTTTGAGAAAGGAGTTTCGGCTCTAAGAACAATCATCCAGCAGTTGGAGGAAAAACAGGACCCTCAGACTGCGGCTGAGCTGGCAGAAAAGAAGAAGAAAATGGCGAACGCACTCTGCGGAGTAGCTGAAATCTATATGACGGATCTATCGTGAGTTGCATTTTACCCCACATATTCATTGTTGTTATAATCTGACAGCCTCCAGTTGGGAAGAAGATGCCGAAAACCAGTGCGAATCTCTCATAACGGAAGCTCTCTTGGTTGATCCTCAAGCGCCCGAAGTGCTCCAGACACTAGCATCCATCAGGATATCCCAATTACGACAAGATGATGCCCGAGCCGCACTCTCCCGAAGTCTTGGGCTATGGAGAGACTTGCCTCCTGAAGATCCAAAGGTTCCGGAGTTTGCAACTCGGGTCAGTCTTGCACGTCTACTCATGGAGGTTGCAATGGAATTGGAAGCCCTCGAAGTCTTGGAACGTTTGATATTGGAAGATGACCAGAGCGTGGAAGCATGGTACCTGGGTGGTTGGTGTCTCTATCTTCTCGCAGAGAAGCGACAAGCCCCCAAGGACGCAGAGGCAGAAGCATCGCCGGAGTCACAGCGGCTAGCTTCCCTGGTCGCCAGTCGTGAGTGGTTGAAACAGAGTTTGACCCTCTATGACCTGCTCCAGTATGAAGATGAAAGACTCAAGGAGCATGCTCTTGAGCTGGTCGAAGAGATGAACAAAGAAATACCCGAGGACATGGAAGATGACAGCAACGCCGAGGATGCCGAAGGGGAGGAAGGGGAAGGGGATTGGGAAGATGAGATTGAGGACGAGTCAGATGAAGACCACGAGATGGCGGATTGATGAAAAGTTACAAGTCATATATGTTTGATGAATATCTGTCATGATACCAATAGAGATTATTTAATTAATGTACAGAAGCCACCGCTGGATTGATCTCCATTAACGAATGGGGTTCAGAAATCGCCGTGTTTATTCAACGACCACCCAAGACTGTCGTGGACCAGCCTTGGACGGTGGGCAGTAAACGTCAGTGGTAACTGCTTGTTATCAAAATGATCCCTGACTTCTTTGTCACTCAATATCAGTGTCGGAATCGGATTAAGTCCACTCCGACCGCTTTACCCAGAGATACCCAGAACCAAATTTATCCCAGCGACCGACTTTGAGTGGCAAAAAGCTCAATGTGAGTGAAGGTCCCTCATAGAGGCAGCCGGAAGTGTCCAATCTTTATTCAGGATGGACGTAATGTCAGTGCCCGGCGGGGAGAGCGCGTCGTTGAAGGATCCGGTGGTCGAAGTGGAAGCCGTTGATATGGCGGCCGTGGAGACGGAAGGGACGATCAAGGCCGAAGATACGACTGCTGTGGTGGGCGATGCATCCCATTCTGAGTACGAGACTGATAGCGATGACTCTGGAGAGGAGTGGGAAACTCAGTCCCTGTATGAAGATGCGATTCAAGGACTGAAGGATGAGCAACTTCGCGATGGCGGTAAGCTCCTCCTTTATGCGCCTGGCTTATATGGCACTCCCTTCAGTAGCGTCTTTCACTAACCATGACCTTGATTAGTGCCGGGTGCTTGCACTCTGGAAGAAGCCATTGCTTATCGCGAACGACTGCATGAAATCGGAAAGGCTGCATTTGTTGAGGAAACGATCGCTCGTGATACAGTCACCGCGAAGAAATTATGTACTGCGTTTGGAATTATGCCGCCAGCTTTCCTAGAAGGGGCCCCTGACGAAGCGTATCACCCTCTTCTTGCGATTGGGATCTCGCGCGAATTCTCGAGGCGGCCGAAACTTCCTCAATACAATACAATTGACGACGCCGTCCGGTTGCTCAAGGAATCCAAGAATATCATTGTGTTGACTGGCGCAGGTGTAAGTTTTCAGATCAAAGGTGCTTGTTTGGCTACATTGGTACTGACGATTTTCTCAAGATCTCCACGAGTCTTGGAATCCCCGATTTTCGCTCGAAAGATACCGGACTCTATTCTCAGTTAGAGCACCTAGGGCTAAGTGATCCTCAGGAGGTATTTGATATTCATGTGTTCCGTGAGGATCCCAATATTTTCTTCTCAATCGCGAAGGATATATTGCCTACGGAGAAGAAATTCTCGCCCACCCATGCCTTCATCAAGCTCCTGCAGGATCAAGGGAAGCTGTTGACCAATTATACTCAAAACATCGACAACATCGAGGCCAACGCCGGTGTTCTGCCGGATAAAATCCTGCAATGTCATGGCTCTTTTGCGACTGCTACGTGCGTCAAGTGTCATCACAAAGTGAAAGGCGAAGAGATTTTCGACGACATCAAAAAGGGCATTGTTCCCGAATGCGTGGCTTGCAAAGAGAGGCTCAAAGACGATTCTTTGAAGCCGCAGGGGCTCAAACGGAAACGGATGTCCAACGGAACGCAGAAGAGCAGGAAGAAGGACGGCGAGGACAGTTCGGAGGAGGAAGATTACGAGATTCCCACTCCTGGCGTTATGAAGGTGAGTGCGAAGTATCCTGAAGGCGCTAATAGCGACTGACAGCTAATTGTTATATAGCCTGACATTACATTCTTTGGCGAGGACTTGCCCGACGAGTTCGGCCGTCGTCTGCTTCATCATGACCGTGATAAAGTGGACTTGGTCATCGTGATTGGTACATCGTTGAAAGTAGCACCTGTGGCTGAAGTTCCGGGTGTTCTCCCACGCCATGTCCCTCAGATCTACATTTCTCGTACTGTACGTTACGCTCCAATCCCATGGACATTTGTGGCCTTCGAACTGACCCATTTGTTTAGCCTGTGACGCATACGTGCTTCGACATTGACCTCTTGGGTGATTGCGATGTGGTAGTCTCCGAGCTGTCTCGACGGGCCGGTTGGGACTTGAAACATGACATGATACCCCCCGATGAGAAGGTTGAGATTACTCGTGTTGAAGGATATGATTCACGATTTGTATTTAAGGTTGTGGGCGCATAGCGGCGGAGTCTTGTCATGGTTATTTTGTTACTGTCTATCGGTTTAGGGATGGCGCAGGTCTGTGGGGGTTTCTAATATTCGCATCTTGCAGTATCATCCGTCAGAGGTTATACTATGTTATACTGAAGGTCAACTTCAGTAAGGGATATGTTTGTCATGTGTTTCCTTGTTTTCGAAGTACATAAGAGCTGGAACTAGCAAGATGCGAAATCCTCACCAAGAATAGAGTCTTTGAGGTCACTGGAGTAGCTGTCTAGGTGATGATTTAGGTACAGAGACGAGTTGTTGTAGCGTGTTGTCCTCATTTCTCTGCTCATTCCCTACAGTGTGGGTTTGTCCGATAGTAGTAGATTCCGTTTCGCGGCAAAGGAGAAGAATCAATCAAACCGTCATCGCAGTCGACGCAACCACCATTCAACGCACCATACAGCCAAAACTAGGCTAGATACATCCTTTTTTACCTACTCATGCAAAGTTAGGAGTAATTGATTGCCCTTACATCGTCTATCCAGGATCAAAGGCCGCATCTTGGCGTGGTGGCATCGCAATGGAATACTTGATCCGCTTTGCCCAAGTGCACGAAAGTTTTCGACGGCCGGAGATCCAAGCACTGGCAGCCCTGGCTAAGATCGAGCTTGAGATCATCTCTTATAATGAATTTGTAGGTGTTTCTCTTCATATTTCCTCAGGCTGCGGTTCCCCTTCCATCCCGGATTGTAATGATCTTGGAGGGGTTTCTGGTTGGATTTTTTCGTTCCCCGCGCCTCCTTCATTCAACAGAAATATATCAATATATCATTACGTGCACAGCTGACCTAAAGAGCAGTCACCATATTGCATTGTCCAGTTGGCAAATGAGGAAGCTGCACGTGAACTTATTGCTCGTAGCATCCTAGCGAAAGATATCTTCGAGCTCTGGGCCCAAGGCACCAACTATGAAGAAGTTCATAGCGACGTCCGCAGGCGGACCCAGCATCGCTGGAACGACTACAAGGAGGTATCATTTCGGTTTACCATTGAGAGCTTTGCTGGAAAGCGAAGTAATGAAGAGAAACGAGACATTATCCAGTCGTTCGCCTATCTTGACTTCCAGGGTCCCATTCAGATGAAGAACCCAGAGGAGGATTTCTGGGTGCTAGAGGAGTACATCCCAGACGTTGCAATATCAAAGACGACGACCTCATCAAGTAAAACACGGCCGGCTGAATTACAAACCCCGCAGAAGATCTATTTCGGACGCTGGGTTGCCAATAGTAGCCGGGAGGTCGTCAACAAGTACGGCCTTAAGAAGCGTCGGTATATCAGCACCACATCGATGGACGCTGAGTTGAGCTTAGTTACGGCTAATATGGCTCATGCAGCGCCAGGGAAGTTGTTCTTTGATCCGTTTGTGGGAACAGGAAGCTTCTGCGTTGCTGCTGCGCACTTTGGCGCCCTGACTCTCGGCTCAGACATTGACGGACGCAGCTTTCGCGGCAAAGAGATGGGGAAGGGTAAACCGATGGGAGTATTGTCGAATTTTCAGCAATACGGCACTCAAAGCAAATTCGTAGATGTCTTTACTTCCGATCTGACAAATACGCCTCTCCGCTCCAGTCAGTTCCTGGATGGCATCATTTGTGATCCTCCTTACGGTGTCCGTGAAGGGCTTCGGGTTCTGGGGACTCGGGATGGGCGTGGGAAGGAAGAGGTCTTGATCGACGGGGTTCCCGCTCATCTGTAGGTTTGCATCAAGGACGTATTGATCCATGATTTGCTGATGCATCTTCAGGCGGCCGGACTACATTGCGCCGAAGAAACCTTATGGATTTGAGGCCATGCAGAATGACATCCTCAACTTCGCCTCGCGGACCTTACTTACAAATGGACGACTGGCTATGTGGATGCCAACATCCAGCGACGAGGAAGGGGAATTGGCCATCCCTATGCATCCAAACTTGGAGGTTGTGTGTGTCTCTGTACAGCCGTTCAACAACTGTAAGTCACAGGAAGAACGCTCTGTAATAGCATCATGTCTGACTTGGCATCTTAGGGTCCCGACGCCTTATCACTTACCGCAGACTCCCGGAAGGAGAGACCTCAGACGTCTCTGTGGGACGAAGGAAAGCCGATGCAGAGGGGATGTATGCTGATGAGCTTAATGCGTTCAGGAGGAAGGTAAGTCATTTTCTTCAGTCCTACATCTGCAGAGAGTATATGACTAACAGTGGTTCAGTATTTCATGAAAAACCCCAACTCCAAATCTAAATCCGGTACAGAAAGCGATGTATCTCGATGAAACAAAAAGTTTGGTTAGAAAATATGAAGGCGTCTCAAAATCATTGTCCCTTACTGCATTATAATACGCCTCTCTATAGGAGCCAATCTGAAGCCCGGTTTGAGAGCATCGCAAGATGAACACGTAGGTATCATATATCAACACAGATATAACGAAGAGCAGCACAAGGCTGCAAGCTCACAGCTTCCCCTTTATCCTCTGATAACGCACATCCGTAGCTGCCACATTCAAATCAACGCCCTCCCTCTCTTCCACTCGGCGAACCTCCTTCGCCAGCTCTTCTCTCAACGCCTTGGCCAACGCCTCTGCCTCCTCATCCTCCAGTTCATCCCTCTGCCCGCGACCAAACATGACGAAACTCATTTTGGCTGCGGTAGGCGTAGGATCCAACGGCGGCCTGGGAATGACATGGAAATGCAAATGTGGCACCTGCTGTGCAGCCCTGATGCCTGTTCAAATGCTTAAGCAAAGACTTCTAATCAGCCAAAGTGGACCGACAACTTACCATTATTCTGCACCACATTCCAACTCCAATCTGTCTCTGCCTCCGAGCCAAAGACAGTTCTCATCACGACCCGCGAGATGATAGGGAGCCACTGGCCGATCTGCGCGACCGCATCCTTTAAAATTTTGCTCATGTAGCCCGGGGGGAATGGTTAGAGGATATACTGACCTCTCTGCTGACTTCAACGCCCATGTCTTTCAACTTCTCGTAGTGATCTCTCGTGACGACGAGAACATGGCCCCTTGTCAACGGCATGATGTCCAAAAAGGCCAGGACATAAGGAGTCGAGAGTACAAGGTGTGCATGCGCTTCTTGCGTCGTATCTATAGGGATGATTCCTGATCCGTGTGCGCCATCCTGTTTCTGTTGAGGATGGAATGTCGATGGCGGGATGGGAGCATATGCTGCTGCGATGCGGCAGAAGGGGCATGGCGCTGATGATGATGGTATAGTCATTTTGTTATTCTGACTCAATAGAGCTTATACTGGGTCTCTGTTGATGAGAACATCAATAAGTATGGTAGCGAGCGCTTGGTAGTCTGGAGCAGAGATTCATTTGCCGGGGTGCATTGAGGGGACGATTGACCTCAAAGCAGGGTATCCCTACAGGCGTAAAAGCTATATACTCTCAGCCAATGTATCAGAAAGATTGTTACTTCAACTCTTCAATCGTTTTGGATGGGTTGTGCCTCTGACCTGATGAATCCAAAGTGGCCGGGACAGAGTGATACTTCTCACTAGGGACCTCGGCTTAAATCTTCACACCTACCTACCATTCTATACTGATTCGTGGTGTTGCTCTACCACATGTTGGACTTCTAGTTGTGAGAGCTACTCAAGAATCTCAGTAGAAACTTAATCAGGCAAAGAAATGCAGAATTGTTCGAATTTAAATTATACTTTAAATTCTGCTTATAGCTGCGCTTCTTTGCTGATCCGTACATCTCAAAGAAGTTTGACACTCCGAGTCCTCGCCTTAAGCCTACAGCAGCACGTGGAGCGTCGTTGATTCGTGAAGTTAGCTGCGTACGACGGACACTCGGCGCATACGGAAGGCTAGTAAGGTGATCGAACCAAAAATTAAGTCAAATGGAAGTACATTTCCAACCCTGAAGCTTTCAACAGTTGTGATACCCGTAGGCAGGCAAGAAGAAGAATGTGTAGAAGGTATCAATCAAAGCTTGTGCGAAACAACCCCGAAGACAGTGCCGAAACCAAAAAAGAGCTGAAAGAACTTAAACAGATGATGCGCCAGACACCCCCGAGAGAAGCGGATAATGCCAACGTACGCAAACTGGAAAACAGAAATGCCGTCATAACCGTATGCAAGAGGTGCCCTTTTACCGTCACAAACAAACAAATGCCGACATATAACTTGAATTGAATCCGTTGCTCTAACACGGAGATATGTGGCATATCGAGGCCATGATCAGCATGCTAGCACAACATCGATGCGCGCCTATTCACTCTCTTTGATGAAGTTGTACGGTTCCGTGAGTGCGCTATCAATGTACATGTGATGGTATTTCTTGGCCCACTGCCGGGTAAGGATGGAGGCTAGACAGACTGATTAGTCGCTGTTGAATTCCGACGGCATGATCTTAGAGAGCTTACCCTTGAGGAACTTTTTGCTTGCGTATTTCTTGAAGAATGCTTCGTGACATACAGGACGGTGAAGGTAGTCGATCATCAATCGGAAGACAGGGTCGATCTCTGCCTCGGTATAGCCAGCATAGTGCGCTAGGGTGGCGTCCTAGTTTGAGTTAGCTTTACAAGTCACTTTGCCTCGCAAGTGCGAGGGTCCTTACCCAAGCCCCACGTTCCAGGATCAGCCGAGCAAGGTACATCGCGGCTGCGGCGACGTGGCTTTGAGGATAGCACATGAAGCGATGATCCAAAAGGCTAATTTCCATGAGGTACTTGCCGAGGGTACGAGTTTGAATGTCATAATTGTCTGCCTTCGAAATACGACGGAGGAAGTTCATGGGGTTGGGATAGCTCATGTTGTACTCGAGAGTGGCTAGGATGTGGCGTTCGGCATCAAGAATCTCCTTGTCTGTGAATGTTTCGTCTGCAACGTGACTGAAGTTGGCCACATGGGGTGAAAGAACTTCCTCATATTTGGAAGCAATGAACATGGCGGCAACTCCGACCAATTGAAGGCGATCAAGTGCGACGACTTCAGCGGAAAGGAAACGGTCGATGATGTTCACAGCGAGGAAAAGCGTCTCGGGGAGGAGACGAAAGCGTGTGTGAACTTCAATCAGCCAGTCGACAAGAATGCCACGCATCTTCCACTCGAGGTCGGGTTGGTGCTCAATGTAGTGAGGGTTGGGTAATGTCTCCAACTCCAGGTCTCTCAGGTAGTCAAAGATCTCCACCACATATTCAGCGGCCATCAGAGGATCGTCCAAATCTTCAGTGTCCAGGTCGTCGACTACGTCCTCAGGCTTCTTGGCGACTTCAGGCTCAGCGGCAATCACAGCATCCTCCTTCGCTGCAGAATCCTTCTCCAAGGTTGTCTTCTTCTCGGGGATCTTCTTCTCGACTTCGACCTTCTTGCGCGGCGGTTCGTCACCCTGCAGGGACTTCTCCTGTCCCGATTTCTGGCTGGACGTCCGTTTCATTTGGTTGCTGCCCATACCAGAACCACTTCCGGGACGCTTTCCTTCAACCGCAGGCTTCTCCTTCTTCGCGTTGTTATCTTTGGCGCCCAAGGCGGTACGTGATGAGTTGTTCCGGCTCAGCTTTTGAACACCGCCGGTCTGCATGGTAGCTTTCGACGTCAAGCCGACCTTGCCAGACGCGGCTTTTTTCGTTTCCTTGGCCTCGCCATTTTCCGTTTTTGTAACATTGCTGACATCTCCAAGGGCAGCGCGTCTTCTTTGTGTGCCTGTTGTCGTCGAGTTGGTGGCGGCCTTCTTGGTCTGAAGGGGCTTTTTAGCAGCCGCGGTGGTTGTGGGAACATCTCCTGCAGACAGAGCAGCAGCCTTTGCTCGTGTCAGACGCGTCGACGGCCCGTTTTCGTCATTTTCGTTCATTGTACCTCGTGTACGAAGACCTCGAGCCTGTTACAGGATCAATCAGAATACAATTGCAAATCATCAATCTGGAGAGCACAATGGTTTTCGAAAGATGGTAGGTAGAAACATTACGCGTCTCTCGTGGGTAGAACTTACCGGAGGCATGATGCTGAAGAGAAGAGAGAGAAGAAGTACGTAGGAAAGCGAAGGAAAAATAAAGGAGATATACTGTAGCTATTGTCGACCTGCAGAAGCTCTCCAGTCAGCATTCCAGGAGATCACCCCGGTGGGGATAGAATACCTGAGAGCCAAGGCGCAGGTTGCACGTACCACGCGTGGAAATACGTTCAATGACCAGCAATTCAACTTGAAGGAGAATTCCTAGTTAGAGGAAGGGAATTTTGTTGCAGAGTCGTCAAAAATGATCGCATATATCGGTCCAATGATGTTGTTGACAGAACCTTTGAGGTCTCAAATCACGTCCTAGTCGGGCGCGCAAAACAAGTAGAACTTCGTGTCGGCGAGCAGATCTTCATAAAATGTCTCGATGGCTAGAGACGACACGCGAAGAACTGCTGATTGCGTGTTTTCGAGGTGCTTTTTTCTGTCTTGAAGAAGCAGTACTGCTGGGGTGGTGTAAAGAAGGTTGGTAAAGTTGACAGGGCAAAGGCGATGTTTGGCCCTACGCTTAGCGTGGAAACAAACTACGCTGGCAAAGCTGCCCCACAGCACAACCACCCGGTTGTATGATGTAGATACCCGCGTAGAAGATAGAAGAGGTGATCTTGACAGACCCTGTATGAAGTATGAAATATGAGATACTTGGCTCAATTAATATAATTGATGAGCGAAGAATGGTGTTTGATAAAAGAGAAATACAAGACACCTGATGAGACACCGCAAAGAGCCAAAGTAAAGATGGACGGAAAGGGGTGGTGACGGTAATAAAAGGAACGTTAGTCTCCCAGATGGTAAGGTAATAGGTAGAATAGGTATTGTATGGATCTTCACTGGATGGACCAGAAGAGGTGTCGAAATCTCAGGTACCTGCTACAGGGCTACCAGTTCAACTGCCTAATTATTATTCTTGAAAGTGCTCCAACTTATTTGGTATATTCAATATCTCTTCTCAAGCAGTCGACTGCTTCAGTTACATTCATATAGTGAAGTGACTGCTCTCTACATGTTAGGATGCATTGAAGGTAACCAGAAGGAAACATGGAAAGCAAGGTACGGAAACCTCCGTATAGATATCGTCATCGACAGAACGATTATTTACAGTGGTGGAGGCTCTTCGTCAAACGAGTATTGATGCCTGAAAGTTTGTCCCCAGGCAGGAAGTCAGAACAGACGCCATCGCGGGCATCGACCGTGATGCAGCGCGCGCCCGAACACCAAAACAACATGTTGTTGCCCAGCAACCGGCTGAACCTTTGAACCTTCCGTTGGACGTGTTCCCGTGTCGCGCAGTC